CACACACACACACACACACACACACACACTGCCCAATCTCTCTGGTTTAAAAGCCTACAAATTACTTAAAGACTAAAACACAAAGATGGTACATTCTCTTTGTCCTGGGCAAGTGTTTATTTTTCACGGGGAGTCCGGTGGTGGAGGCTCTGTTTCCGGACACACTGGCCCCCACCCATTCAGACTCGGTTTCTGAAGGTAGCATAGTTGAGCACTGCCATTGCCACTCCCAGCCTGTTAGACAGCGAGGCTGGGCGCTCTCCTCCAGAATGCTCCGTGGATTACAGCAAGGGTATAAATTTGAAGTTGATAAAGGCCAAAGAGAGGTGGTAAGAGGCACACCATCCACCTCCTGCGGGACCACTGAACTGTTCAGGCTCCAGAGCCTGATGGGAAGACGGGGCACAGCCTCTGACGGGACCGTTCGTCCCCTCCAGGCCCCTCCGCAAGGCCCCAGGGCACTCCGTTTGGGTTTGTTCGCTGTCTCCCCACAGAGCAGCCCCTCCACCGCCCTGTCCTTTCCCTCCCTGGTGAGCAAGCCCTTTCACAGTGTCTTCACTTCCATCACTCTCGGAGGGGAAGAGGCATGACCTCAAGACTCTTGCCCTGGCACTTCTTGGAGGGGCCATCACCACCTGGGTGTCACCCCGGATCTAGGGGACTTCAGATTTAAAAATAGTGCATGTGCACGTGATCGGCATGGAGGCCCGAGGGTGGGGGAGTGGCTGGTACTCAAGCAAACGATTAACACACACAGACACGATTCCCCCATCTCTTCTCAAAAAAAAAAAGGCGCAGTTTTCACCTACCATCTTGCAGTCGTCCAGGGTTCGCTGGGTTTTGCTGGCGCTCTCGGAGCCGCTGCCCCTGCGTTCCCACTCCCCGCTCTGCAGCTGGGGCTTGCTGATCTGAAAGATCGAGGAGCGGGTGGACCGGCTGGGGCGCTTTTTGCGCCCATTCGGTGCAGAACTCATGCATACACATCCACCAAGCCGAAGCCTCTGGTGCAGTGCGCCCCGGCGCGGGCGGCCCAGTCGTTGCCCTGCGCCGAGCAGCCGGAGCGAGGACCGAAGCGCGGCACTCACAGGGCTGGGGCTGGCTGCGCGGGTGGGTAACCTTCAGCTTGAAGGAGAGCCGGGGGAGCGCTGGCTGTACCCTGCAGCATCGCTTCCACTAGCAGCGAGGAAGGGGCTCAGTCAAGTTCTGCTCAGCAGCATTGCTGGCCCCGTCCCGGGAGCTGGGCGCTGGCTCGCACCACCTTCCCCTCGGCATAGGTTGCAAGGCTGGGCGAGAAGGAACGCGCCTCCCGGCGGTTCTGAGTTTCCATTCAGATGCGAGAGCAGCTTTTCAAAGCTTGTGCTGCAAGGTGGGGAGGGTGGGAGGGGGGTGTCGCTCTGGCTTCAGTGTCTTCCCGCAGAGAAGCTGGGTTCCTCTTTCCCCTCCCTCCCCTGTTGCTAGGCCTGGAAGGGCTGGCAGTCCCTGAAGCAGGCAATTGGCTCTAATCGGCCGCCTTGATCCCTCGTCTCCACCGGCTCATCTGTTTGAGGATCCCAAGTGAATCTGTGGCGGGACTGGCGGACGCAGGGAATAGGCCCGCTGACGTCCTTCCCGGCCCCGCACATTGATAGGGCCGGAATACGAATGTGATCCGTCCACACAGCCCTCTTCCCCCTCCACAGTTTATGCACTTATCCAATCAAATCCCCGGGAACATCAATTGCGATATTACTTCATCTGCTCTATTATTAGAAACCAAACGTGTCATCAGAGTGGAGCACGTTGTCACATGCTGGGACCTAAACAGGGATTTCAAATCAACTAGTGTGGGCTTGAGGCCTCACGAGCTGAGGCTGCCTGAGGGCCAAAGATTACCGAAGCCCAAACCTGGGAGGGAAGGAGGGAGGTTTTTGCTTCAAAAGGAAGATGTCTGGGTAACCCAAGAGGAAAGCCTTGTTTCCCTGAGTTCTATTGAGGTGGTGTTTTTGCTTTTCCTCCGAGGAGGGCGTCAGGAAGCCAGCAGGGCAGAATGCACTGAGGCCATCAGTCGCATTGGTCCTCATCCCACCCCGTTTTAATTAGTAAAAATTTTGGCTTTGCGTTCCAGAATCTCCAGATCCCCAGCTCTGAAAGTTTCCCAATAGAGACTTGAGCAAGCAGGCCTCCCTGGCCACTCAGGGGGACCCTCTTCTCCTTTATGGGACATCAGTGACCCAGGGGCTATGGAGTTGGCCCAAAATGCCTGTATGAGAGAAGGTGGGAGTGAGTTCCTGGACCGTTTAAGTCCACCCTTACCACGCACAGCCTAAGGTTCTTCAGCAGCAAGAGAGGGGAAGTGGGCATTCGGTGCCAGTGTTCTGAGAATGCTGACTGCTGTGAATGGTTATTTGGAGGGGACAGATAAAGAAGTCTGCCACAGGGGAACTAATTATGTGTAGAACAGCCTAATGAAGAACTAATCAAGGTTCCTGGTCAGTCTCATCTCATAGGGGGATATGGAGAGGACACAGCTAGGGAGAGCCAGATGTAGCTAGGAAGCTAGCAACCTAAGGAGGTGTTAGAATTTTTGTGTGTGGTGTTTTGTGTGTGTGTGTGTGTGTGTGTTGTTTTTGTTTTTTTACAAGCCACGTAAACATAATGGGGGTGGCGTGGTATAATAAGAAAAATACTTGGTCTTTGTCCCCAGCTCCTGACACAAAGCTCCTAAAACCTTTGGACTTTCAGGAGTGACCAGGGTGGTAAGCCTCTGGTCCCCAAAAAGACTGAGCCTTAATTTGAGGTCTAGAACTTTCAGCTCAACCCCCAAACTTCTGGGGAGGACAGAGGGGCTGGGGATTGATTTAATCATGAAAATCCATAATGAAATCTTCATAAAACCTAATGGATGGGGTTTGGGGAGCTTCTGGGTTGAAGACATGGAGTTGCTAGGAGGTTGACTTGCTCAGACAGGGCATGGAAACTGCGTCTCCCTTCCCATACCTTGCGCTATGCATCTCTTCCCTTTGGCTATTCCTGAGTTGTATTCTTTATAATAATAGGCAAAGAAAGCACTTTCCCAAGTTCTGTGAGTCATTCTAGCAAATTATCAAATATATGAGGAGGGTATGCGGGAATCCCTGAATTTGCAGCCAAGTCGGATACAAGTGTGGGTAACCTGGGGACGTGATACTTGTAATTGGTCTGTGAAGTGAAGACAGTCTTGTGGGACTGAGCCCTTAAACCTGTGGAGTCTGGAGCGTTAGTGTCTGAATTGAATTGAATTGTAGGGCACCTCGTTGGTGTTGGAAATTGAAGTAGTGTTGAAAAAGATACCATATGTTTTCTTGGGAGGAAGAAACCTAGTAGGTAGAAATCTGATGGGTTCTCAGATGTGTTTGTACATTATTTCACAAAAGATCGAGTCAGTTTTCCCTAACACAGAGTTGGGGTAGGCGGTATCACCTCCCACCCCAGACCTTGGTGTGCTGCAGTCCTCCAGGTATTTAGACGGACCAGGATGAAGGGCTCTTCAGGTGGCCAAATCTCCCCAAGTATGGAAAGATAAAATAGGTTAACTATTAGTCAACTCTCTGTTTCTCTTCCCCTTGGTCTCAATTTTATTTCTACTTCCTGTGTATAGAGAGGAGAGGCTGAGGAACACATTAGGTGATTTGGTGGGATTTGCTGGAGTTTAGTGAGTGGTTGAGATGCTGAGGAAAAAGGTATAGGGAAGCTAAGAGACTTTAAGGAAGAAGGGATAATAATCATTTGTAAATTATTTAAGTCCTGTGACATAAACCCTTTTTGTTACTACTAACTCCCCCCCCCCAAAAAAAATAAAAAAGTAAAGTCTGCTTAGCCCAAGGTTGGTGATACTTCAGAGAGTTAAAGGAAAAGGGGCTGCATTTTTCATGTGTGTAGACATGGGGTAGAGAAAACAGAACACTGGAGGTCAGGCTTCTAGACCTCTTTTGGCATCACTCTATTTCATCCCCTTTCCCTGCAGGGAAATAGTGACTGTCACTAGATTTGAGCATCTCAAAGCTCCTCAGTAGTAGGTTTCTACTCCAGCTACAACCATCTGGTTTCTACCTCCCCTCCCCGGGCCCCTTCTGCCTAGAGACAGTTTCAACAAATTAAAAGAAAAAAGAAAAGGAAAAAAAATCCCAAAACACAATTGCACCGCCCTGTTTCTGTGCCATATTTCTTATAGGGGGTGGAGGGAGGGGATAAATGGGTCAAACTCGGTGCCACATCTGCAGGACTACAGATTTGGAAACCTGCAGGGGATTAAGCAGAAAGATCATTTGTAGGTGCCCACCTTGGCCTTCCCCAGTGTGCAGCCCAAGCCATTTTCTTGAGAAGGGAGAAAAATAGCATCCAGCCCAGAGCTGTCTCTCTCAGGGACAAATGCTGTAATCAGAATAGCAGCAGGCAAGCTCAGTTCCCTCACCTTCCCCCACATTCAGAACAGCATGAATTTACATTCCTAGTGCTGTCTGACTGCCAAATAGAGGGGTAAATGCAGTTAATTCCAACGAGGGCATGTTTTCTGGTTACCCAGACCCAATGTTGGCACAACCCCAACAATGGGTCCTCTATAGATATATGGCTTCGACCCGAGTCACATCCTAGATTCACTCCAATATCAGATCCACCTGATGGTTCATGTTTTCTCTATGGCAATTTTAGAGACTTCATTTTGATTTGGAATTTTACCAAAATGAATACTAGTTTAGAGTGAATGTGAGCAACTTGGTAGGTTTCTTCAAATTGGTTCTGTAAGAAATCACAGTAGGACCAGAAACGCATATCTCAACCTGGGCTGGCCTCTCGTGAAAGGAGATACAGGGAGGCGGGTTTCATCTGGGAGTAAAGTTCAAGGAAGGGCAAAGATGAAAAAAGACCTTAACCTGTGTGAGTCTGTGACAGCAGCAAAGAAAAACACATTAAGATGCTGAGTTCTGAGCCATTGGGGAGAGCTGAAGGGCATAATCAAGTTATTTTCTGTTAGTGTCCAAAGAGATTAAGTTATTGTGAAAAATTTAGTGAATAAACTAGTAAATGGTTTATTCCCACTAAAAACAAGAGGAAGTACAATTTATTGGGAACATTTACTTATTAATTTTACAGATATTTTTGAGTGTTCTTTAGGTGCAGTTCCAGGTTTTGTTGGTCCTAAAGCTTATATAATTGGGGGGGGGGGGGCCTTCTTTGAGATAAATAATCCAAAAAATTAAAAACAAAATTAGATATATGGTCTTAGAAGGAGCTCATGCAAAGTGAGGTTCCCTGAAGTTTAGGCTTCATTACCTTCATGGTAAATTTTCACAGTTGGTGTCTATTATATGCCCAGTGGGCATCTGGCGTTTTGCCTCCTTTGTTTTTGTTCTCCCTTTTCTGAAGATGGCACTTTAAATTTCCTTTGAGAAATCAGTCTTCTCTCACCTTTTGTCACATGGCTCATGGGTTGGGCATATGGCTCAGACCTGGCCAATAAGATTATTACATTCTGGTGGCCACAGTGATTGGTTTAATAATGGGTATGAAATCTAAACTGAACCAATATACTTTAGGCCTCGGGGCTTTCTCTGCAACGATTAGGTTGAAACATATGAAGGTGCCATTATTCAACAATTCTTGACCTATTTAAATTTAATTTTATATATTTCAGCCACGATTAAACGTTTCCATTGGGTTTCTAGAGTGAAGATATGAAAGCCTGGAGTTTTTGGTGGCTGCCTTTGCTATTCATGGTCAACAGACTGCCTGAGAGCCAACTCAGAGGAAATCAGAATGGAGATATGGAGAAAGATTGATGTTTTAAATTTTATTTTTAGTTTTATTGACATCAACATTATATTAGTTTCAGGTGTACAATATACTGATCCAATATTTGTATATATTGCAAAATGATCACCACACTAAGTCAAGCTAACATGTTACCATGCATAGTTATAGACATTTTTCATGTGATGAGAACTTTTTTTTTTTAAATTCTCACCTGAAGATACTTTTTTGTCTGTGTGTTTTATTGATTATTTAGAGAGAAGAAGGGGGAGAGAGAGAGAGAGAGAGAGAGAGAGAGAGAGAGAGAGAAAGGGGGTCTATTCATTGCCTCAGGTATGTGCCCCCCAGCAAGAGATCAAACCCAAAACCTAGGTATGTGGCCTGACCAGGAATCAAACCCACAACCTTTCAGTGTATGGCATGACACTCCAACCTACTGAGCCACATGGGCCAAGGCTTGTGATAAGAACTTTTAAGATTTATTCTCTTAGCAAATTTCAAATATGTAATACAGAATTATTAACTATGATTGTTATACTGTACATTACAGCCCCATGACTTATTTAATTTTTAACTATATATTTGCACCTTTTGGTTATCTTCACTCATTTCATCCCCCCCCCCCACAATCTCTAGCAACTAACGATCTGTTTTCTGTATCTATGAGCTTAGATTTTTTTTAAGATTCCACATATAAGTGAGGTCACATAATATTTGTCTTTTTCTGTCTGACTTATTTATTTCACTTAGCACAATGTCATTAAGTCCCATCCATGTTGTTGCAAAGGGCAAGATTTTATTCTTTTTTGTGGCTGAATAATATTCCATTGTATATCTACTACAGTTTTTTTATCCATTCATTCATCAATGGACA